AACATTTTCAAGTCTTCTGTATCCACTTGCTTCGTTTCCGTCCTCTGTTCGGTCATCCAACACCCACTACATATCCGGTTAGGGCTCCTCTAGCGGATGCAAACGGGTTAAAGGGGGCCCCTGTGTCTCCTCTCACCCACCTCGACACAGGCATCTATCTTCGGTTTAATGGGGAGACAAATCAACTTTTCGTGTTCTGTCGTATATACCGCGTTCATCAGCATCAGCCATGCGAGTCTAATTTCTCAGTCCGTATGCGTGGAATACGTTGGAGAGCCGAAGATGGGCAAAGAATGGACAATGTCTAATGTTAAGAAAATATTTCTGTATTATTTTTTCTGGAGATATAATACCGTATGATCAAATAAAAACGGCGGCGGCGTCAGCGATGGCTATGAAATGAAGATCGCTGTCATTTTATATGTAAAATTATATGGGAAATGTCATCAATCGGCATTTCATAGCCATCGCTGACGCCGTTTTTATTTGATCATACAGTACATACAGAGGTCACACATACAGTGTCCGGCAGTAGCTAGTGTGTCGGACATCTGTAGCTTTTAGAATAAAAAAAAGAATTTTCTATTTCAGGGAAATATTTTAACTTCTATAGTGTGGCTAAAAAAGTGTAAGTGGATCAGCTTCACTTTGGATTATTTCATATCTAAGATATGAGTACAAAAGTTGGTCCGAATTGCATTCCGGAAACTTTAGCAGCATATTCTGCAGATAAAAATAAGTAAAAAAGTTCGTACAAATGTACGTCCTAAAATGCTTAGTTTTGGAGATACAGGGTGTAGAAGTTTCATTTTTATTTAGATTTTTTCCAAATAACTTCTGAAGTCATTATTTGTATGAAAATAGGTTCTCATTTCAAAAAACTCCCAGGCATCAATTTTCATCAAAATATTGACGTTACTAAATTATTTGGAAAAAATCAAAGGAAAAATGAGCCTTCTACACCCTGTATCTCCGAAACTAAGCATTTTAGGACATATATTTATACGAACTTTTTTACTTATTTTTATCTGTAGAATGTGCTGCCGAAGTTTTCGAAATACAGTTCGGACCACCCTGTATATTTCGATAGTTTCAGAGATACCAATAAATAAATAAAAAATATTTTTTTTCGGCCTTTCTTAAAAAATATTAAAATTACAAGAACTTCCTGAACTCAAAACTAGATTAGGTATTTACTTTAGATGACCTATACTTACTATGATTACAGAATATACAGGGTGGCGCCTCTCATACGCCGCGGAGGCTACAAGGAGAACGACAGTTTGTATTGGAATGACGTTTTGTGAGCATATGTAGGTTAATTCAGAGCACTTTTTAAAAATATAGAGAGTTCTACAGGGTGTCCCCAAAAAAGTTACATATAAAAGTTGTGTTTTTTGTAATGAAACACCCTATATTATATTAATTGATTTTCGGATTCTGGGAGTGAAATAAGGTGAGTTTTATAAGAAAAGTATATGACTAAAATGTAAGGTTTATGACATATTTAATATTTTCTAGAAATAAAGAACAATTTTTAAAGTACAATAAAAGCTACCTAAATTGGAATTTACCCGGTATAGCCTAATATGTAGTTAAATTATCTATTGTACTTTAAATCAAATTAAAACTTGATCCAAAAAGTTATACAGGGTGAGACAAAATTAATATTGAACATTGGTCACCCTTAAAGGCATATGTTACTCTCATATTTTAAATAGAACACCCAGTATATTATTCCGATATTCAATGGAGAATTTACCTCTCTTCAATATACTATTAAGGTTGCCTACCCCTCAAACAAAGATTTTTCTAGACATTTTCATTGACATGATTTGATCTCAGTAGATTTTTATTATTTGATAAAATCTAGGTGGCTGTGATACATCTAACGTTACTTCTACATAGTTGTCTAATTAGTCCAACTTTAACAACTAGTTATCATTTCCTGTCAGTTAAAACAAAAAAATTTCTCAGAAATATGCCGAAAATACAAACTTATCCTACATCAGAGAGAATTGATATTCTATTAGTTTGGTAACTTTGGTAGCTATTCTATTAATAGAATACTGAAATGTTCCTGATTTTATTTAGTCTGGTTTTTTTATGGGGATATGTTAAAGACAGTATTTACAAAACTCGACCAACGAGTGTCGACAACATGAGAAAAATTATTGTAGCTGCTTTTCGAGGTAGAACTCCACATATGCTTTTTAAAATGAAAAGATCCTTTTGAAAAGACAATCATTTTATGCAGTTAACAGGAAAGGAAGCATTTTGAGCATTTGATTTCATCTAGCTTTTTTTTCGCATAATTTAGGTTTATATCTAGTTTTAATTCTGTAATAATTAAAATATGTTTTAAACGGGTATATTTTTATTACCTTTGAGTATTTTACTCTACAATCTTTAATTTTTCTTAAATTAACAAAAAGTATATCACACAGCCACCTAGATTTTTTCAAATAATAAAGATTTACTGACGCAAAATGATAAAAATTAAAATATCTCGGAAAATCTTTGTCTGAGGGGTAGGCAACCTTAATAATATTTTGAAGATATATAAATTCCCCATGGAACACCGAAAAAATATACTGGGTGTTCCATTTAAAATAAATGAGTAACTAGCTTTTAAAAGTGACTAATGTTCCATATTAATCTTGTTTCACCCTGTATAATTTTTCGGGTCAAATTTCAATTTGGTTTAACATACAATGGTTACTGTAATTAAATATCAGGCTACAAGGTCAACAAAAATTTAGGTAGCTGTTATCGAAATTTAAAATTTACTCTTCATTTTCACAAAATGTGAAATATGTCAAAATCCTTATATTTTCGGTATATGCTTCTTTAATAAAACTCACCTTTATTTTTTTCCTACAATCCAAAAATCAATTAATATATAGGGTGTTAGAAAAATATATAGGCCATTAGAAAAAACACAACTTTGATGTGTAACTTTTTTTGGGGACACCCTGTATAATTCTATATATTTTTATAAAATGCTTTTAGTTAACCTACATATGCTGCCAAAATTTCATTTTGATATAAACAAATACGTTTAAAATAAAGTATACGGAGGGTACCGCTTAAATTCCTGTCCCGATATTGAAGGACGGCTATAGAATTTCAATGCATTTCCTACATAAGTCTATCCTTGGTTTGTAGGAGGTTTGACTAAACAAGGATGAACCTATGTCTTGAACATTCGACTCGATTTTCTGTCCTCCTTCAATACTGGGACGTAAATACTCTCATTGCTGTTATGGGGAGGCCGTCGTATATTTTATTTAAACGTATTTGGATATAAACTACCGTTCTCATTGGAGCTTCCGCGGCGTATGAGAGGCGCCACCCTGTATACGCAAGCGTAGCTAGATATTTTGTGCTATGAAATAAGTATGGTAATCGTAAATTATCCAGGTTATTCAAAATTCTACACGAAACTTTCTAAAATATAAAATAATTTTAATTCGTTCTTTTTTCACCCTGTATCTTTTCAATAGATGGATAATTTAATAAACACAAACTTTTGTATTTAGATTAATTTCAAAACTTTTAACGGTTTCGCAGATATTCGCGGTTTTATATTTCATATGGCATTTTTTACAGTAAATTTTTATTAAAGCCACCCAATGATTTATCTCTCACATTTTGCCGTTGAATGAGCTATATGAAATAACAAAAATTTCAATATAACAAACAGATTTCTTTTTAGTTTTTAAGATATGGGTAATCAATAAGCAAAAATTATTGGTTGTATAAAATTCTACACTGGTATCCTTTATTTTAATATATTCTATCCGTATTTTATACATATTCTAGTTATTTTTATCAATACAACAAACCAAAACGGCGATTTTAATTAATATTCCGCTCATACGACGCTCGTAACCTTTTTCTAAGATCCTCAAACGCCCTCTAGGGGAAAAACGATTACAAACCAAACCGATTTTCTTACGATTAAATTATCGGGTTCTGATTTTACTCGATGACTCATTTGCAACATTGATCATCTGTAGTGCGTCTCCTGTATGCTTGATTAATAGTAGATTTAATAGAATTCTGATAGTTTAAGCATTGACGGAGGATCTCCAGGGGAGTAGGTATCAGGTAGAAATTATGATAAAATGTCAGAATTGAAATAGCACTTTTACTTTTACTTCAAAGAACTAAGCGATACTGATGCTTCTTTATAAACAAATCGTCTGATATGGCACAAAGGTTATTTGACGAATTCCATTTAGAAATCAATTGAAAAATGCAGCTAAATGTACAAAGAATAAATCTCATTTTCAAAAAACGCAACAAGACAATACAATAATTCTGCAAGACAATAGGCCACCAAAAATCATAGGTTTCAAAAATTTCTTGATATCACTGGCTGTTATAAAGATTAACGGCATGTAGAATATTACTGATGAAACTATTTAACCTCATATACAGGGTAGCACATCGAAAACAATCCAAGTTTATGACTGTTTTTAAGAGCAACCATTTTTCACTATTAATTCCATCGCTGTAACTTTTTAACGGAGATGTCTACTAACCTCATCTTCTCAACTATGTAGGGGATGATACTTCTTTTTAGAAGATTTTAAATTCTCTGTAAAATGCTGTAAAATGGCACCTCGTCTTTTTTTAATCTGAGCTACACGTTGCCCAGAAAGGGGCCCCTTTTGTTTACAAATAGGTTTGTGAGATGAAATGAAAAGATAAAAATACTAGTAGTACTTTCAACCTACTAAGGGGTTGAAACTACTTAGAGGTCAAACGTACAGCCTTGCCACCAAAAATATAATTTTTATCATTAATAAAACAACATATAGTTCATACAAATAAACTTTTCACGTGATTAAGCTTGGCCGGCACAGCGTTGCCAACTTTTACATATTTTCTTTTAATCAAAATATTTTAGGAAACAAAAATAAATAAATTATAAATATACAAACAGTTATTATTTACATCAACAAAACCCACTTTTTTAACA